TAACTACTGTATGTTTTTTAATGAAAAATTAGTATATTTTAAAACAAGAATATTTATGATAACATAAACGCATGAAGTGACTACACAGTGATGATGGGGTATTTGAAGTTGGAGATAGGGCACCCAAAGTAAGAGTTTTTAGAGAGAGGTCTAATTATTTTGAAATACATTATGGGCAAGAGTTTTTTGCTAGATTTTAGACTCCGGCCAAATACAGTAGTATCAAAGTTTGTAGTATCAAGAGCGATTATTGAGTCTACTGCAAAAGTTCAAGTCAATAGTAGTGCCTGTTTTTGGTGCTGAAAAAAACCAGGAATTGTACCTATATTACAACTGCGCTTGGACCAGCAACAGTTATGGTAACAAAATACTAGGCGTTGTTTGGAAGACAATTATTTTAACCGAGATTTTAACACAAAAAAAAACCTGCTGGCCTTATTCCAAAAAATTTCTGAATAACAATCTGAATAGCTTCAAAATTCCTTGCTTCTTAACACTTAGAATACCCAAATATAATTCAAAGCATATATCACTTTTTTTCAAATCAAAAGGAATAAATAATGACACACAGATAATGACATTCTATGATAATGACAAGTTGGAAGTTGGCATATTATGTAATTCTTTTTTTATCAATTTCACTGGCCACTGCTGCAAACGGACACTGAACGCATCGTTACCAACCCTAGAAACAAAGTTTAACCTCCGGTGAACTTAACCAGATGCGAGACCAGATGTCACAAAAGTTTGGTGAAATGGTACTCTTATGGTAACCTTAGGGTATAAGTTACCTTAACCTTAAGGTTAACTGCACATTGTGACAATGGGCCTAAGTAGTCATACACCAGTTATAGTTTATGTTCACCTTGTTCCAATTGACTTTGGAAAAACTCTACCTACCGCTTTTACTCATACTAAAACTATATATTTGCATTTTAGATATTATTGGCGTAGCATCATCCTTGGAAATTTGGCAGGTTGACCGTTGACTCTTGTATAATAATGACAGTATATGTCAAATTCCAGACAGTTTTAAGTGTGTTTTACATAACTTCGTAAGCGTCGCATTATTAAAATTCTCTGGCCTACCTGGCCAATCAAATTTGTCACATGTTTCAATGGTGCAATATATAAACGGAACCTAATTATTTTGCATACCTGCAAAATCTATTCACATTTTTTTAAAATTCGGCATTGTCAAATTTATTTCATATTCAAGATGCTCATAATAATTTCACAAAAAAAAATAAGATAAATAATAAAATGTTACGGCTATTTCGAGAAAAACAAACCAGAGGTTCTTTAGGGAATGCAAATTGAAGCCCAACTACCAGATATATTTGGGGGTATAGTTTAAATGTAGATGTAAAGCCAGTTTTTACAACCAGCAATCAATTTTATCGTTGGACCAAACCCGAAAAAAAAGTTACTGTGAAAACAAGGTGAAAACATATTTAGGCTGTTAAGCTTATACTGTTATTGTTACGTTTGATTTATCTTATTTCAAATAAATTCAATAAACTTACTAACCAATCTTTTTTTTTTTTTAAACTAATTTGGAAATATATTTTGGAATTGAATCTGCTCAGATATTTTACACATTCTGGCAACTCTGCTTTCTGTTTCATAACCCTGAAATTTGAAAAATACTTTTTCTACGAGGGAAATGGCTCTTCCCGCACGATTTGCTGTGCGGGAAGACTTTCTTTCCGCACCAGTGCGGGAAGAGAAATAATCATTGTGACATGGAATTGTTTGTATTAGGCAATTCAAACCACGTGACATTCAAGATGGCGTGGCGGCCACACATGGGCCAAAAAACACACAAAAATATCTAGTTTCTGCCCAACTTGATAGTTTACGTACCTATTCAACAAATATTTTATTAAATAATCAAAATCAAAGTTGCAAGCAAAATTCTAAGCAAAATAATTTAAAATACGCATAAAAACATATTCAAAACAAACTTGTTTGGCCGCCACGCCATGTTGAATTTTCCTTTTTGACAGATGGATTGAATTGCCTAATTCTTGATACACCTATACCTTTACCTTTAATACCTTTCAATACATTTTTGATTCTACCTTCTGCACAATCACATTTCATTCAAATTAAACTTCTCCTAACATCAGCTTTAGTATGCTCGTAGAAAAAATATAGTTCCTAACTCTTGCGGGAAGAAATTTCCGCACTTGTTGGGAAAATAGCTATTGTCATCAAATGTCATTATTATACGAGGGTCAACCTGTCAAATTTCCAAGGATGATGCTACGCCAATAATATCTGAAAAGCATATAATATAGTCTATTTCCAAGATTTTGACAAGCTGTCATTTCGCAACGGATGAGAATAATGAGACGAAATTGTAGGGTCATAAAGAACTAAATGAGACCTTCAAAAAGAGGTATGAAACGACCCCTATCCCCTATTCAAATTTGGGTGGTTGTTCTCTCCCTAGCTAGGGGGTTGAAGCTATGGGGATGAAAAAAACTGAAAAATATTTCCCCCTCAAATCAAAAATCGACGTGTCCGAGCGTTTTTCCAGATTTTCATTTCAAATCGAAAAAATCGCGGTGGACTGTTTTCCCTGGGACACCCTGTATATGGCAAACAAAGTGGAGCCGCGGTTCTTCCTTCCCGCATCGTTTTTCTTTGGATTTAGTTGACAATTATCTATAATCCATTTGAAAAAGTGAGAGAGCAATAAATCCTAATGAAGATGCGAAACCTGTACAACGTGGTCCTTATAATCTTTGGAACCTAAACAATAATATCAGAATACCTTTAATCTCGACTTAAATGGTTTTCTTTATTTGACCTGTCTAGCTCATCCTATGGTCTCGGTATAGAAGGTTGGAATACAATAGAAATTCTCCACTTCAGCATATTTTAAGATAATTAGCTTCACTTGGGTAAAGGGCATTGAATAATGAAATTATTAAAAATAAAACAAGATTTCATGTTAGAAACATTTAGTTAAAATAAATATGCATATTATATTTTTTACGCATACCCATACAAAAATGTATGTTACAATTTTTTGTAATTCAGTTATATCTTTCTCGATTTTGATATGAGAATGTAATTTTTCTCGCACGCAAAATTATTGAAGAATGTAGCTCATTCTTCAACGATTTTTAGTGACATTTAATTTCCAAAGTATAGGTAAAGTCTGTTTTTTTTTAAAGATAAAAGTCAAAATGACAATATGTTGGCAATACAATGTAAAATTGTCAATGCTTTCAAATTTTTTACATAGAAAAGGCCGAGGAAAAGGCTTGTGTTGCCAACATAGTTACTAAATTTTTGAATTGGGGGGGAATAATTTGAAAAAAAAACAGACTTTACCGAGGACTTTACCTATTGGAACCTTCAAAATTGACAAACCTTTCAAAAGAATAAAATCCACCTGTCAGTTGGTTAGTAAGTAAGTGTTACCAACTGACATATTTTGCATCCAACTAACAGCGACCAAAAATTAAAAAAAAAAAAAAAAAACGAAAAATAAAATCGAAAATCGAGAAAATAGTATAAAACTCACGTTGCAGAACATTATTTTCGCATTCATTCGTTCGTCCACTCGCTCCTTCGTCGCTCGTGTCCAAATTTCGACTTTGTGCGGGAATATGTGGACTTCTGCAACTTGTATTTTAATATACTATTGTTTTCCAAAATATAAAATGTATCCACCACAAGCTGAAGACTGAAAAGGATTCAGTCTTGCCGATCAATTTAAGTTTGCACAAGCTAGTTGATGGACATGAGCATAACGTCTATCCCGGCCTTTAGAATCCATTGGGCTTTTATCCAAAAAAAAAATTGTTTAATATCATTTAATATGCAATTTCTTCTGAAAACAGCCGCTAGGGAAATTTCTCACCAGCGCTCATGTCTTGTCCATAGAGTGTATTGGGATTTGGTCAAAAGTCCGTTTATTATGCAAATTCTTTTGAAAACTGCCACTAGGGGTCGCGGATTTTTAATATTTTTGTTTATTCTACTGCACGCCTATGCCTATGAAAGAAGCCTTGGAAAATGATTTATTACTCTCTGTCTTTTTCAAATGGAATATAGGAAACTGTGTTTCCTGAGCAACGTGCACTGAATACGCACTTTTTTGTGCTGTAGCTGAAATTTCGGAAACAATATTGCCGATATTAAAAAAAATCAAATAATTTTCAAGTAATTTTTAAATCTATAATTCATAATGTAGGCAGAGGGGGTGAGGCATAGGTACCTAACTTCAGAATTTTAGTATTTTCATGTAAAACTGTCTGAACAAATCAAATTTGGATATCTAGTGGTGTGTTCTTTGACTAAAACGCCGCTTGCCAAAATGCGGGGGATAAGCAAATAAAATTTTAAGACTTAATGAAGTACTTATTTACCAGGTGTTTTTTTTTATCTTTGACATCATTTTGATCACCTGTCCCACAGAAAAAAATGTGCATTATAGCTATAGCGACGCAAACAAGCTTCTAAATGATTCTGCAAATCATTAAACATATTTAAAGAGTGAATTTGGCTATTTCTCTGAGATTTGTTCTAAACTGCGGCCGTTATTCCTTCCAACTCCGTATGACCGAAAATAGTGCTCTACTAAGAAATCCTTTTATAACTCTGGGGCAGGCAAGATTATCATTTTAAAAAAGTAAAGTAAAGCACTTATTTTCATATTCTACTCTAGGTAATTACATTTTGTTTTGTGTCAATCAATTTTTATTAGCAAAAGTCACTTATCAAAGATAAGCAACATAAAAATGCTGAATCACAAGTGAGGCGCAGACTCTGGCATTATTCATCAAGATTAGGTATCATAAGTATCAAACGAGCACATCAAAAAACATACATAGATATCACTTCAATAAGTTTTTATTATTGTTTAAATTTAAAGTTTTAGTGTAGGTATTATAAATGGAATATTAAACATTTAGCAATGCTATAAATGCATACAATGACTAATCCGACCCCTAATCCCTTATAGTGAACTTTGCTTATAGGTACCTACAATATATAACTATTTACATAATGGTGCGAAATTACAATTACCGATACAATAATCCATTTAATTCGGAAGACATGAACCGGAGAAAAGATAGCATCCATAGTGTACCATTTTGGGTGGGTTTCCTAGTCATCGCTGGATTATGGGGAATATTTGGTTTTGTTTATTTGATGGATATTATGCTACCCACACCTCTAAATGTCAATGATGAGGTAAGTGAAAACAAATCATAGTAAGTACTTAAGGAAGGTAATTTGTACAAATCGGCTTGTGCTAGCCATTTTGCCTGAATAAATCGTTGAATGTGAATAGGAATTATTTCTTTTCGCAGTTCAAAAATTTGGTCTGTGTGAATTCTGTTTCGTCTTGAAAATTGAGTGAGATTGATGCAGATATCTGACATTGTAAACCTCTTTGAGTCAAAATATGCAGATAATTAAATGCTCGTATGTTGACTTGTCCATACGTTAATAGTTAAAAATTATTTAATTCATAGTGTTTTTAGCAAATTATCATGAGACTGCACTTCTCTTTGCAGCAACTAAGATTTCGACCATTTCCTTTTTTTTTTTCGTTCTAATTTTTTCTTCAAAATTATAGAAATTGCAGCAGAAGATGATAATAGTTCATCACTTTCCATTTATTCACAAAAATCCGAAATTTATGTTTACCTCTATATCTTTAGGTTATTTAAATGAAGACCTTCAGATAACTAGCGCCAATTAACTAAATCTGTGAACGAATATATCTGACTTATACAATTTTATAAATTACTTGTAAATTTAATCTGAACCGCCCTTGATATAGGTATAAATTTTTTATTGGTTTGCAATAATTAAAGCCGGAGTCTCATGCATCCATTTTCCGACGTCCGATGTCCGTAAAACCTTCTATTCTGACATATTTTCATACGATTATGTCAGCATAGAAGAGGTTTTTCGGACATCGGAAAACGGATGCATGAGACTCCGGCTTAAAGCGTCGTCGTACTACTTGCCCATTGTCAGAAAGGGTCGATAATTCAAATAATTAATTATTGGTGCGATAAGAGTGAAAATGCCATGTAATTTGAAAAAAAATTGTACTTAGTATAACATTGACTTTTTCCGACAGGTACCATTAGGTAATAAGGGCCGTCCATTTTAGAAACGGTTCGCGGGCTCTACTGCGTAAACAGAAACCGCGCATAATCAGAAAAAAAAAATTCCGTTTCAGAATTTAAGCACTCCATTGAGACACATTTTTTGAAGATTTTCATCAAGATTTTTTTTTAAATTCGAGTTTTAGAACTTAAGCAAATCTACAAAATAGTAGATTATACCACGAGTCAATAATGATAACTATTACTTCCGAGGAATATTTACGAACTGAGTCGCGTTAGCGGCGAAGGAGTAACATTCCGAGAGAATAATAGCCATTATTGCGAGTAGTATCTCTATCTAAATATCTATTCAGCCTTCTTTAGTCTATCTTTGAACGTAGGCCTCCCCCAGTCTTCTCCAATCCTCTCGGTCTGTTGCTATGTTCATCCACCTGGTTCCAGCGTGCTTCTTCAGGTCATCAGCATATCTCATCTGTGTCCTTATTCTTGACACAGGAAAGCAGCGTTCCCAGGAGAACGAGTGTTCCGTCTTTGTTACCTATATTATCAGTTGCATATCGTTGAGAAAGACGGAACACCCGTTCTCCTGGGAACACTGCTCCCCTATTTCAAGAATAGGGACACTGGGGTCTTCCTCCACTTCTTTTATTCTCCCAAGGTCTCCAGCTTAAAATACATTTATTCCATCGGTCGTCTTTTTGTCTGAAAATATGACCTGCGAATTTCCATTTTAGTTTTGCTACCTCCTTTCTAACGTCTCTTACTCTCGTTTTATTTCTTATCCACTCGTTCCTCTTTTTATCTATCAGTTTCACATGTAGCATTTGTCTTTGCATTGAACTTTGTGATTTTGTTATTTTATCCCTGTTTGACTTTGAAAGTGTCCATGTTTGGGATCCATACGTGAGGACAGGAAGTATACATTGATTATACAATTTGGTTTTGAGGTATTGTGGATATTTTCTATTTTTCAAGATGTAGCTTAATTTGTTGAATGGTGCCCAAGCCAATCTAACTCGTCTCTTGATTTCTGCTGGTTGGTTTTCTTTGTGGAATTTAATAATCTGTCCCAGATATAAATATTCGTCGACTTGTTCTATTTTTTCTTGTCCTATTCTGATTGTGATATCATCGTCTGTGCATAGTGAGACCTATGTTTTTAGCTGCTGTGTCAAGTTCTTCCAGCATTTCCGTCAGTTCTTCTTTCTTATCAGTCATTAGGGCGATATCATCAAGACGATGGTTATGGATTCATTCCAGTTGTTTGGGATTTTCATTAGGAAGGTATGGAGAGTACTGATAACCGTTTCCACCGTATTTTAACATTTTTTCCGTGACTACGTCTTTTCCTGGTGCTTTGCTGTTTTTCATTTCTTTCAGAGCCCTCTTTATTTCCGATTTGCTTATTTCGGGTTGTAGCTCTGAGTTTACATTCTGTATTTTAGTTTGTAGTTGTTTTACGATTTCTTTCGGTGGTTCCTTTTTTTGATATAGTTCTGTATAAAATAGTTGTGTGATATTTATGATATCCTCCTTAATATTAGTTTTTACGCCGTTCTTGTCTTTTATTTTATTTATTTCATATCTTCCTAGTGTCGGCCTTCCTTAAGCATTTCATATTCCTGTTGTTCTCTATGGCTCTTTCTAATTCTGTTTCTTGGTTCTTCCTTTTATTTTCTTTTATCATTTTCCTGATGGTCTTATCGTTCAGTTTCCGCCTTCTTTCCATGAGTTTATTTGTCTCTTCTCATATGCAATCTTCCTTCTTTTTATCATTTTGTGCGATTTCTTTTTCTACCCTAACTATGGTTTCCGCTAATGTATCGTACATTTTATCTATATTTTCATTATCGCTCTTCAAATTGTGGTCAGTTGTTTCTTCAGCCTCTCCTTGTATATGGTTTTATTTTGCGCAAGTTTGGTCATCTCTCGGGTCATCTCTAGTTGTCCCTTGTTTCCATTAGTTTTTCTTTTCATCTCAAAGTTGCCATCGATACGTATTTTTGCTCTGACCATTCTGTGATCGCTGCCTGTGATGAATCTGTTCAGGACTGTTACATCTTTAATAATATATTTTTCAATGGTCAGTATGTAGTCAATTTCATTCCTCGTTGTTCCATTAGGGCTGAGCCATGTCCACTTTCTTTGCGGTTTCTTCTTATAGAACCAGTTCATTGCATATAGATGTTTTTCTTCTAGATAGTTCATCAAGGTAGTGCTCCTATCGTTCCTCTCACCGTACCCAAAGTCCCCTATTTTAGTCTCTTCCTTATTCGGCTTGTTACCAAGTTTGGCATTGCGAGTAGTATACTCTACTTTATCTACGACAAATTAATTTATTTAAGATTTTAATTGAACAAATTTCATAACACGTTTGACACTTGACACTGACACTTTTGAGTTTGTTCATATTGTTTCCATGGTATTACTTATTTTGTTGCGAAATTTTGTGATTGGAATGCAAGCGGCAATAATGACCATTAATCCTTCGTCGTCATTATTCCCTGAGAGAATAATATATGGCATTATACTGCCAAAATCACAAGTATAATACTTACATTTATTAGTCGTGAATAAAATATTTTTTCTACAAACGGCAATAAAACGCAATAACCAGCAACAAATTGGATTTTTAAATGAATAATAAATTGGAAGCATCTTTCCTACATAAAATTATTGAATTTGACATTTGTCAAAAAATCCCCTATTTTGACATATGTCATACGTATCATGGGCAGAATATTTAAATGTTAAATTAAATTGACGTGTCGCGTAATACCTGAATCGGCGCGCGCAGCCTGTAGCAAGCAAGGGAGAAAGTGAAGTTTGTTACGGGCTTGCGTCATATTTCTTTACTTCTATTCAGGTGCGAGCTCAGAATTATTCGTTCCTTCTTTCTTTGTAACGTGTAATTCGACAAAGAGCAAACTAATACTTTACGTATAACTTGAAATCACTGCAGCATAGAATAAGGTTTAAGTGGGGATATAGAATGGTAACTCCCATGTTAAAAAAACGTTTGTATATGTGGCGCCTCTATAGGCTTGGGTCAAAGTAAAATGATTTTGGCGGGATATTTGAATTTGAAACTTTGTTTATGGAATGACCTTTTTGGACCTTGATCAGATTCAACATTAGTTATTATATTTATCCCTCATTATTAAAAATAAATATAATATGTAATAACCAAGACTGATCTAGTCAACGCCAAAAACGTTTTCTGGAGAAGATAGAAAAATAAAACTCGTGTCTTTCAATCGTTGGACTTATAATATTTTTATTTACAATCATACATGTAATGTTGACTTTACTGACTTTTAAAAAGTTCGAAAATGTCACTTTTTTGACTTTTACTTTCGGCCCACGGGTCGAAAGTTTACTTTCGACCCGTGGGCAGAAAGTGAATGAAATTTTTAAAATTTATTGTATTTTTTGACTTTTACTTTCGGCCCACGAATGAAATTGTTAATTATTGTATTTTTTAGTTTTAATCCAAATGAAAATTTCAAAATTCGAATGATTGTAAATAAAATAGTATACATACCTCGGTGAAAAGTTTCATTACTGTCTCGAGATTTCAGTTAGACCTCGGCTGCGCCTCGGTCTAACTTAAATCTCTCGACAGTAATGAAACACTTTCCACCTCGGTATGTAATATACTATTATTTAGGTACATATATAAATGATAATTAAACTTTTTCTGTTTGTCTCCACATCAATTTCATCACCAATGCGGGATTGACGCCATGATAAAGATAAAACTTACCTGAACTAAAACTGGGTATATCATTAAAAGTTCGACAAACTAAAAATTGTTTGACAACATGCACTGCAGTGCCGTTTAAGGTTATGTTGTATTGACATATTCCTTTGCAATTTTATGTGCGACGTTGCCGGATGAAACATTTATCAAAATAAAAGTGCAAACGATGTTAACATACACTTTAAAGCTTTTCTTTTGTCTGATTTAAGGCGTTGTAAAACACTTGACACTATTTCACTTCTTTAAAGTTATAATGTTCGATTTGTATTGTCTACATCTGTTCCGCAACAATACAATCTGGCCACACTGCAGCCACGAGTTGCACGCGCATGTCATCTATTATTACT